GTTAACTACAGTTAATTATGAAAAAGTTGGTTAAGTTAGAGTTGAGTGGGATTTTAAATTATAGTCATTAAAATAATATTTAAAATAAAATGATTAAAATTAATTTGATGTAAAAATATGATAAAAGTGATTTAGACTTTAGAGTGATAGATAGTTATAACTGTGAGTTGATGTACAATGAATTAAAAAGTTGATTTGATTTGTACGATGATGATTGATTAATATTATTTAATTATATGAATAATAATGAAGATAGTAGAGTTGACTTAAATTGAGTTAGATTTGAGTTTGGATTGATTTTATTATTTTTTTTGGGGGGGAGGGGTAAAGTAATAAAAACACAAGATATGCAAAACCGAATCATATAAAACGAAGAAAAAAGTATTTTTTTTAAATAATCTACTTACACTGTAGCAAAAATAAAAATCCATACTGAAATCGAACCATCAATTTCAAGACTAAAATAAACCTATCGTTCTGCATTGAAACACATGGTTCGAATCAATTTTTTCATTTTTATATTGAACTTTCTATATGTTTTGTATTTTGTTTGAAATGTTCAATACCTAATTGTATCTAATTAAAAAAAATTACAAAAACAATCAAACTCGTAAAAATAATAATTAAATCGTACTCATATATAAAAAAGAAAATTAAAACTTGACCAAAATTCTCACACAAAAAAATCGAATTGTACATCGTCGAATTGCACAATTCGACTTGATTTTTTGGGTTTGGATCGGCTTTGTTCACCTGAAGTTTGTAGATCAATATCGTGTTCAAAGCATAGACTTTGTTACATTTGATCACATCAAAGTTGAAACATTATTATTGAAGATCTCCAGTGTTCCTAAGACGATGATGTTAAGTATGGAAAAAAAAAGAGAGAAAAAACAAAAGTTCAGTTTCGATATTTGTCTTGTAAAGTTGTATTTCTCGACCCATCTATGACTATATATAGATTTTTAGATCATTTGTTATCCATCTTGATCTATATCACATTGAATTAGAAAGTTGAAAATTCGATGGCCAATATAGATAGGTTAGTTTTATGTCAATCTTACTATTGAAATAAACCATATGTTTAAAAAAATGGTCGTCCACATTTTATTTGGCATGAAAAGATAAGTGAAATAGTTTCAAGATAATATAGTTATTGATTAAAAATAACTAGTACAACGCCCGTGTATTACACGGATGCTTGCTAATATTTTCCTTAAAATTTAAAATTAATGAGAAAAAGTAGTTGGAAATTTAAATACCTTTTATTAAAATATATATTATTAAAATACCCTTTGCCGCCCTTGTGGTCCTACCCGACTTGATTCCGGATTAGTCGGTTCCCCTGTGGATCCGGAAACCGGAAGGTCCCTGTACCAAAAAAAAAATATATATATTATTATATATCTAGTATGACACTTTTTATTTGTGTGACTTACTTTTCTTATATTATAATAATTTTTTTAACTTACAACATATAACTACATTAAACATAAATATATCAACTGAAAAATAATTTTATTTTTCTAATAATTTTTAATAAATATTATTATTTTTTATTATTATAAAGATAAATATAATTTATTTATTTTATATATACAATATGGATGTCAAATCGAAGATCATGAAAAGATGATTAATTTGATATATTATATATGTAAAACCGATAAGAAATACAAAAGTTATCAACTTTTATAATATATTTATAATTCAATAGCTAATTGAAGGAAACAAATCAAAAGTCAGGGATATATTAGTCACTTAGTGACTCACTATGTAACATTACAAAGAATTAAATGGTTATATTAGTACAAGTGATATTAAAATACCTAACTTAGATATATAATATTTATGGAATGTCTGAACCTATATTATTATTAATATTTCAATATTATTTGTCCAAACTAATTACGAAGCATGATTCTTCGTCAAGTAGGATTCCGAAGCACCAGAAGCAGCCACGTAGGCTCAGCGCATTCGGGAATTATATATAGGAGGGATATGGTCAAATAAATTAAGGAAAAAAAAATATAAAAAATAAAAATATAAATGGTGCACCGACTAAAATAAATAGCAGTCTTACTGTGCTCAATTTGGATCACATAATTAAGTTAAATGGACAATAACAACTGCAAATGTGAAATGTGAAGTAGATTTAGGTGTAAACGAATCGAATTCGAACTTAAAGTTAAAACTATAGAAAATTATGTCTATTGTTGAAATTTTTTATTTAAATAAATGAAGATAAACTTATGTCTATTGTTGAAAAGAATCGAATTCAAACTTAAAGATAAAACTATAATTTAAGCGAATAAAAATTATGAAGATAAAAACTTATGTCTATTGTTTCAACTTTAAGTTCGAATTCGGTTCGTTTAAATTATGTCTATTATTGAAATATTTTTTTTTAAATTATGTCTATTGTTGAAATTTAGCCAAAGAAAATTATAAGATAAACTTGAACTTTTTTAAAAAGTTTGTCCTACCAAAAAAATTTTATTTAAATAAATGAAGTTTACGTTAAACAGAGAAAATATACGTATTTTATTTGGCTACCAAACATAGGCATAGCCGATATATTTATTATAATAATATCCATTATTTAAGTTAATATTAATGATACCCAAAAAGAGTACTCCTATTTGTATAACAATCAACCAAGGGTAAATTCGTAATACCGCCTTACGAAACCACTCCCTTTCAAAAACTCCGCCCTTCCAGAACTCGAAACTCCCCAGACAGGCTCATTCACCCCTACCCCACGCGCCGGCGAGTGAAGAACTCATCCCAATGTTCTTCACTCTCCTTATTGGCATATAAATCCCACAATTTTTCCTTTCTCTGATCATCGTTTGCTCCCA